GTCTCAAGCAACCCATGCTTGCCACAAAAGGTGACTATGCTTGTCGTAAGAGGCGACTAACGGGATCGGGTGGTCAGACTCGCTGACTGGTTGACACATGTCATCGTTCCCAATTGCGCAGATTGATGCTCATGCTGTTGATCACTGGATTGTCTGGTCCAGACTCAATTATTTACAGACCGCCGCCATATAGCTGGAATATTGCCGAGTGCCGTGTAAAAACTTAACTCACTCACTCACTTGTTAACTATTGTCTTGAAAGTATATAAAAACTGCACCAATGTAGTTAGTGCATACATATATGTAGTGCATACATATATGTAGTGCATACATATATGTGTATCTAGACATGAAGAAACCATGAGGATGCCAAGCAAGGACATGTCCTCAGCTACATGTGTTTGTCACAAGGGAACTAAGTGGATTAGATGGTCAGTTTCTGTGTCTTGTTGACTGCATGTCACTGAATCCCAGTTGTGCTGATTCAAGTTAATATTGTCAAACAACGGATTGTGTGGATGTTACAGACAGCTGTCACTCAGCCTGGAATATTGCTGAGTGTGGAGTTGAACAACTAAGGCACAAAGATATGAAGAGAGTGGAACCTCATATGCTCATAAACATTTCAGTTGAGATTATCATCAATACATCCTGGTGACTAATAGCCCTATCACAATCAGGAGAAGTGCAACCATGGAGTGGGGTGGGTCACAAACACAAGCATCACACAATGCTTACAGGTCTCAGATAAGCATTTGTTGATTTCAGATAAGCCACAACCAACTTGGTTCTTGGTAAAGTCACCTTACTTGAAGACAATAGCTGTAAGGATTAACCACGCGTTTAACAAAAATTGAATGAAAACTTTGGGAGGGTAGAATGAAAGAATTTGAGCAGATACTGCATAACATACCAGTATTTCATTGTCTTGTAAGAAGTTGAAGAGTAGTTGTTGACATTGACACCAATTTAATACTCAAGAACTGAAGGGTGCTTTAGAATTCCATAGCACTTTGTAGCCATGAATCCAGTGTAGTGGATACATTTTAAAACACTGCATATAACAATTATAAGCCTAAACATTTGACAATGTGAACTGAATACAGCCTTGTACAAAATTGTTATTGCATATTGCACAGAGTAACCTATCAAGACACTCCAAACATCTTGCTAGTGAGTAACATTCATGGCAACGAGTGACAACGATGTGTAATGTCCCTATGAGCTGACTCAGAGCAGTGTGTGTTTTCAACACCTCAGTCTCTTGGTTGGAGACACAACTGTCGCCAGTAATCAGTGCTGCAACCTGTCAGGCACTTTCAATGATGGCCATCCCACAACATCAAGGAGCCTCATCCTCTAGTGCACTGGCCCCACTTGACAAATAATCTTTTACACGCCTTTCTATTGACAAAATACACTGATGAGGAATGAATATAACAACATAATCCTCACACTGCAGATTCCCAGTTTGGAAAACATTGACAATTTCAAAATATCTGAGATTAGAACAAGGATTAATGCCTAAATACACAATCAAAACTGAGTTCAGCATGTATTTTGAGACATATTTTCAGACGAGAGATGATAAGAGAGGTAGTAGTTATAGCACTGTACCTCTCCCTTATAAGATTATTCAGATATGTGCTGAATGTTTTTATGACTAAAACTATGCATGTAATCTATCAGGTATTTTTATTTGAACTTTAATATATCCTATAAGCCGACAGTGAAACTATGAGACAGCAACATGCAAGAGGACCATTTTATCTACATACATGATCTGAGAAAGATTTAAATATAAAATTCAATACATGATAAACATTGTGTATCTTTGACAATGTTTCAAAACATAAACTCAAACCCCTTCCAAATCAACAAAATGGTAAATCTCATTCTGTGCTCAATACATTCATACACTAACCAACAAGGAGAAATTTCAAACATGTCAACATTGTTTGAAACATGAAGATGCCTTTTCTTTGTAAAAACACAATTACTGTATTTTCACATGCTTCTAAAACCATTGCCTGCACCATGCTTCCTTAACTACCCACCCCCCGACATGTTGTGAGCTGGTGTGTTCCCTATTATACAAATCTGAGTATACATTCACAGCACATGTGTGTACACACGGGTGTTTGATGTAGGCCGCCAGTGACACATTCTTGATGTAGTGTCTCACACAACCCTACTAAATGGTGTCAGATGAACATGGTGAGATCCAACACCGTTAATGACCTGGAAAGTCCTAATGAATATGAGGGCACTGAGATAAAAGAACTTTTCTGAAGAAGATATGTTCAGCTGGAAAATTACATCATGCGTGTGCATTAATTAGTCACATTTTCAACTGACAAAAAACGTTTTTCCCCAAATGTTGGCTAGGAAGCATATGAATATTGATACTGGACAAACTTATAAGTATCACATGATTTGAGTCATGCTGCGATAACCGTCAGATGTTTCATAATATATTAAATATCACAAGTGATAGGTTAGTAGCCCTGGGCTTAGGAAACCAGCTAAATTAACAAATGTTTGCAAGATATTAATAAGTCAGTGATGAAGTATCTATGAAGATCAAAATAGTCCAAGAGAAGGAAAAAGGTCACTTATAGTCTTCTTCAAGATTAAAATTGACCTTATACACAATATTTACAGTCAACATGATCATGTGTAGAACATAAAGATATAATACTACTTAGTTGGTCAAGGCCAGTGTTGATAAACTAGTTATTGCCATAACACAATAGGCTATGTGACTCTGTATGGTAAACAATATATCCACATTTATAACCAATGGGTCAGACTGACTGACTGACTGACTGACTGAGTTTGGTTTTACGCCGCTTTTAGCAATATTCCAGCAATATCACGGCGGGGGGACACCAGAAATGGGCTTCACTCATTGTACCCATGTGGGGATTCGAACCCGGGTTTTCGGCGTGAAGAGCGAACGCTTTAACCACTAGACTACCCCACCGCCCCCCAATGGGTCAGACTTATCAGCGGATGGAAAAGTAATATGATACTATCATCATGGTACTCTGAGGTCAAAGTAAATACATGTGATTGCTAAGGCACATTGTATGAACTGCAATTGAAATATTTCAGATAATGTGGACAATTAGACATATCAAACCCATAAAAGCACATACCTGTAGCTGTATCTTTTGATGTAGCATTCATGGTAAGCTCAGCAATGATTACTTTTATAGTTCAAATTTTCATACTACAACCACTATTTTTACCTGATCACACTTATGATGGTGATGATGATGATGGTGATAATGATGATGATGATGATGTGTTATTAAACTTTGCAAACAAAATTTAATTATGTGATAAAACTAAATCATGTGTGCCAGTTACTGATAATCTTTTTTAAACACAACACATCAATAGTGGAATAACATATAGATGCTGGTCTGATGAATTTATCAACAATATGACAAATAATAAATGTACTCTAAACAACAACGTGACAACCATACAAATTACAATATGATGATAAAAGCTGACAAGCATGATGATATAACAGCAAAAAAACATGCCATGGTGACATTGTGCAAACTAAATATAAAAACTTGCAAAACAGGAAAAACTTGCTAAAGAAATCTTGATATCAACATGCATGTGATACTTTATCAGGCTGTGACTAAATGTGACATTCAATGATATGAAGTTCATACAATGAGCAAAATGTCTGAAACATGAAACTGTCAGAATACAAGACTGTATCGAAGTGCCAAATATTACAGGTAGTCAGTTTAGTTATCAATGAAGTATGCTTAGTAACAATGTAGTCATGTAAACAAATATAACTGCACTAAAGTTAGTTGATCCAAAACATGTTATAAGAGCTATTATTCTAAGCATACTGGAAATAAAATTCTTATATAATTATTATTTTTCCAATATGGAACAAATGTTTAATATATGTTAACATGGTTAAGTTAAAATAAGAATGATCATGATGATCTATAGTGTGATCATCACAATCATGCAAGAAAAATTAAAAACGGTTTGACAAATGTCAAAGTTCAGTAATAACATTTAGTCTAACAGTAGCAGAAAATGATATGGTCCCCATTTTGCTTCCTCTAACACTATTTCTTAAAAGAACTAAACAAGAAAAAATATTTTTGTGCTTTTTGATAAAACTACCAATACATCTGGCATAATTGCAAGTTTAATAAGCCATTGGCAAACAATTCAATCAGGTTTTAATTTTAGTATGAGTAAATTTGTTTTTCACTTTCCTAACTAATATGATTAGTCAGCAAAACATGATAAGACTGATAAGTGGATACAATGTTGTAGCCCCCTCCCCCCCACCAATTTATCAATATATCATATCAGCAAACATGCTTTTGTGATGCTCATTGTATATTAATGAAATGAAGCAATAACAGAGAAGGTAAACAACTGCATAAGATGAAGGTGTCTGAGTCGCAAATATTAATTCGATAGATATCAAACCTCGTTCTCAACATATCTTTACCATGTTTACTTGTTTCTGACATAGGTGAGAATGTCTAGCCCTTTTGCAGCATTTTGTTCATTGCAATCTGTACATGATGAATAAATCTTGGATATGATCTATTCTAATGATACTACAAATATTTTGGGACCACACCACATTTCTTTCATTTTGTTAGGCATTCTTGGGAATTAATCTTCAAAACAACTATTTGCTCTATCCACAAAAAAGGCAATATTGCTTAGTTAATAAGCACTGCTGTCATTTGATATGACTTTTGTTCTGACTTGTTATGAAAACAGACAACAAAGTATTCTAGTGCAAATGACTTAGCAAATTTCATGATGATTAAGAAGCAGCAACATTAATTTGGTAACTGTTCGTTTAGTGCTCTTGTAGTCTGTATGCCATTTAACTTTTTCATAAATCAAGTGACAGTATTACATAAAACAATGTTTTCTGAAAGCATTCAAAAGGAAAAATTGTCTCCCTTGTGTTGGAAGAAATTACATACTTGTTGCCAAGGCTGACTCCTCGAAAAGTAACCCTGTAAAATATGTAAAATCAACATCTGGTGTTACATGGGGCAAAATTATAACATAGTTAACGAGCATAGACCAGACGGACATACATTATGTGGCAATCACCACGAAGGGCTTGAGTCTGATGCTGTATGACATTTCTGAAGTACTGTAGCCGTTTTGCTCCTGCTTTTACAGTGTAGTTTTTGCCCTGACAGTGTTGAATGGAAAAAACATTTGACATGAACCTATGTATTCAGCAGTAAACATGGGAAGGGATGTTGTTACAATCATGTGTCTTCAATATAGTAAACATTAACTTGGAAAGGTGTGTATGTAATAACAGTCAAACCCAGTCATGTATGTGCAACAAAGTCATTAGTAGTAATTTATGGAGGAACCATGATGGTATCAATAACAGTACTAGTGCAACATGTGACTTCCTGTCTAAATATATCACAGTATTTACAGATCGCTGGTGTATGTAATTATAATTTCAATGAGGATCCATACATATTTTCCTCATCATGCCTATTACGGCATTATGTTTCATTTGATCACTACAGTAGATAACATTATGAAATTATTATACAAATAGGACACTTCTTAACATTTTTGTAAATTTGATGGATATAAAGCAACCGAACAGCCCTACATGTCCCAGGCAGACTTGGAGGAAGCAAAGAATCATGACACACGGTTAGAAGGTTGTAACAGACGTTATTTGTAAATATACATTCCAGCATCGATCTTATTACGTGTAAATAAGCCAAGTGAATATTTGATGTGGAAACAATGTAGCAAATAACGTGAGAGAGAAATATGCTAATTTCAAGGATCAATGTCAGATTCAGCTACAAGCAGACGAGACCCACCTTCCTAAATTCTGATCCGCTATCTGCTTTACACGCAGAAAATTCTTCCGCAGGTTTTCCTTCTTCCACATTATGATCCAAAAGAATTAAAAGATACATAGAGCATCCGATCTGGCTATGTCAAATTCCAAATAAACTCCATGTTTTCAAGTAGGAAATAAAGCTACACCAGGCCAGTTCACAATCCGCTATCCCAGCCACCAGGAAGTGACTAACAGACAGACGTGGCATGCCGACGGGCAGCTGTTAAAATTCACGTCATTGGTCCGATGCTGCAATGCTGGCCAACCATTGATTAGTTAACATCTTGTACGACGGCATGAAGCTAAAGATGGCGGACATCGTGGAAAACGTGCTCAAGGCTGCAGCTGAAAGAGAATCAAAATACAAATGTATTGAGGTTGAAAAGGACATCGATCTTGACCTAGATGAAGGGAATCTTTTGGCTTCTGATCCCAATCCTATCGACTTAAAAGTTTTCAGGTTTGGGTCTTGTACTGTACAAATGTCTGTCTGATTCATCAGGTGTAGAAACCGTGTAAAGAAATCAACACTGATATAGTCATAAACATGATTTAGTCGTAGTCCAACCGTTCAACCTTGTTGTACGTAGTGAATTGTGCTCTTTCAAGACGCACCCACCGTTCGTATGTCAAATGAGCACAGCACTCCGCTCGGAGCTCTAAGACTGTAGAGGCTAAAGTATGGCTGAACACTAAAAATATACAATTTTGAAACGCAAATAGTCGTTTCTCATGTCTGGAAATAATCATCATATTTTGTTGTGTAGAGATGCGATGAAATACGTCTGTGGGTAAGATAATGGAAGGCTTGAGATTAGCGATTATTGTGAAAATGGGTTGTTTAGAAATATATAAATTATAATGCTTAGAGACCACATGTCAAGTTCAGCTCTTCCACTCTTAAGTTGCGACTTACTAGTGGTTTATATAACACTTCTCACTGGTTACAAGTGGATATGGTCACTGTAGGCCATTAAATAGCAGTCTTGCTAATGCCTACTATGTTCAGCGCATTAATTTGTGTTTTGAGCACTTGCAGTGGCTCGACTTGATGATCTGAATGGAAATATATTTTAATAATATCAAATCAAGACAGTGTGCCACTGTTTTGTTTTATATGTGGATTTATTCTTTTCCAGTATAGGGTTCTTGAGAGGCATTTAGAAGTTGGTGTTCAAGTAAAACACAAATATTATGGATGACAACTTCTTCTTTATTGTATATCACAATAGCCCAGAAACATTGTGATATACAATAAAGAAGGAGTTGTCATCCATAATGTTTCGCGTTTTACTTTTCCAGTATAGTTATAAGGAGGTGTCATTGGAGTCTATTTACATGCTATTTTATCTCCACTCCCTTTAGTTTGTTCAGCACATTAAAAAAGATACCAGGAAGTAGAGGTGTTTGTCTGCATACGAAATTTTACGATGTGTAGCAATTGAGCTGTTAATTATGTTAATGGTTGCCCTTGGCATCACTTATTGACACATTAAGACCATTTCTCAGTTCCTCTACCGTGCTATATTGCAAAAATTAGAGCAAGATGGTGATGCATAGTTCTTGAAAAAATACTCAATGCTCAAAGCACTGTATTATTACTATCATCAATGGATCAGCATACACAAGATTTTCATTCTCTGTTTCAAAGGAAGTAAACAACGCAAACTGCCTGAGATGCACACTTGAAGGTTAACAGTTACATTACCCTCTCACCCTACTTGGTACTTATTCACTGCTTGGAGAGCATTGGCATAAACAATGGCACTTGCCTCAGGTGACATCACATGGGCTTCAATGTTGTGCAGGAAGTGTTTGTATGACATAGTGGGAATGTCCTCATAATGCAGCTCATATTGTTCTCCTTTTATTCTTCCTCATATACTGTCTCATATTGGTGCTCATAATACAGTGTTCATTGAAACACGTATTTTAACCCCAAAATTATCAGGAATCGTTCAAGATTTTGCCATTTTGTTGACATGGTTTGGGAATTATTTTTTAATTTTTTTAAAGTTTTGAACTTTTGAATTTAAATCATCTCTCAAAGCTTCAGCTTCACAATGTTTACTGCACTGATGGTTTTTAAATTGAGAAAGTATGCCTTGGAAGAAAATTGAAAGTTTGGCTCAAATGAAAAGGAAGTAAAATGATTAAAGAGTAAAGATTATGGGGATCAGACATGTTAAATGCATGATCAGTGCAATGCAGTGGGTTAGTATTGTGGTGCCTCCATTATACAGTGGGTTAGTAATGTGGTAAAGTAATCGCTCATCACAATAAAGGCCTTATTTAGATTTGCCTCATGGTTACAATGTTTTGAAGCCAATTACTTATGCATCCCGTCATGATAATGCTGGAATAGTGGTGTAAAACTATTCTCTCTCACATTTATGTTATTACCAGTGCACAGTATTTCAACTCCAACTCAGTTTCAGCCATCTACTGAAGTAATATTGAACTGGGATAGACACGGACATGGACACTTATCCATTAACTAGTACTCTAGTGAACATTTAGATGGGCTAGTTTTCTTCTACATTTGTCTGTTATGAGGTTCAGACCAGTGAGATGTGTTTAGTCAGTAAACATTTAGTATATGTCTTTTGAAATGACAAACTGTATCTTGTTTCAGGGCGAACCGTGAAGATTTCTTGACAAATCTTAGCAGAGATAACACACAGTTGCTTTTAAATAGGCTGTGGCAGGTGAGTGATCAGACACCTTTAGTAAAACCTGGAAATAGCTGATTTCTGTGATTTCTGTTTTATCACCTGAATACTTAATGTTGTTATTGGCCCAGACAAATTTAGACAATAGAAGTGCCACTTTCATGTCTGCTGTATGAGTACAAAATATTATTATGGCTCCTCTTTTACCAACAATTACGAATTTATAAAGTTCTGTTTTAGTAGGTTAAATTCAAAACATTGTCATTAATTATATTTTAGTGATGTGTGAAACATTTTAATGTAAACAGTTATAATTTTGACAAAACAACATTAAGTGTAGTGATATGGCTAAAATGAGTGACCAGATTTCTGTAGAATTCAGATATTGCACAGTTTCAGAAATCTCCAACATCAGATTTCACATAATTTGGACACTTTCTGTCTTCATGGTGATACATCCCAAACTTTAAAGCTTTGAACATCATCAACAGACCCCTGCCATTTTTCCCGTTTGGTTGATGGTCAATGTGTTGTAATTTCAGCTTCCAACAGAGAAGATTGATGACGCTGTTGTAGCTCAGGTGAGACGAAAGGCAAACTACAATTCATGGTGTTCGTGGTTCAACCAGATTATGGATATGATGGAAGCATGGCGGTACTGTCTCTGTGGCAGAACTAGACACTCTGACTTTATGAGCAGCTTCTCTCAGACCTATTTACAGTTCCAGCAAGTTTGCTTCTAGTTATTCCCCATTTCTGGTGTCCCCCGCTGTGATATTGCTGGAATATTGCTAAAAGCGGCGTAAAACCAAACTCACTCACTCACTCAGACCTATTTACAGTTCCAGCAAGTTTGCTTTTAGTTATTCCCCATTTATGGTGTCCCCCGTCGCGATATTGCTGGAATATTGCTTAAAGCGGCACAAAACCACTCACTCACTCACTCTAGTCATTCACTCAAACCTTTATTAAATATAAGAGGCCCTGTTAACATGATTAATGTTTTTTGTCCGGCAAAGAAGTAATACTAACATATAATCCTCAAAATACCATTTCCCTCTTCATCATGTTTATATTTTCTTATCCATCTTTCAAACTGTACATAACATGTTTTCCATAATTTGCCCATGTGTCATTGTGCCTACCTTTAGAATTCAGTACCACAAACTTTACAAACTCATTTCAATGTTCAATGAAATTATTTGTGCCATTTTTTGTTGTAAGATTTGTCGTAGGAAAACTGTCCCGTTACGTCAGCATAATAACAGGTAGCTGTGGTCATCAAGTTTGTGCATAATCTCCTTTCAGTACCTAACATCTCTACACACAATGTCATTGAATAAGCCCGGCAGTATAGAGAGGTTTCAGTGCATATAATTTTCCCCTCAGAAAAACATGAATGGATACTGATACCTTTTGATTGGTTTGATCAACAGACACGGTTTCAAAAGTTGCTGCAGGTAAAGCACATCATTAACTTCTCCTTTGGGTTTTATTTTCCAGCTTCCAGAGGCACAAACCCCCATTCCACGAGAAAAACCTGTAAGTGTGGGGTTATATGTTTCATATTTAGCCAATGGCTAATACCTTTTGTATCTCTCAATCACAATCTCAGCTTGTCATGAGGGGTAACTTTATGTGGTCAGACTCAGCGACTTGGTTTACAGCATGTCAGTGTAACCCCAGGGTGTGAATCAGTGCTCCTATTATGAATCTCCCGACTGTCTTTTCTAGGCTGTTAATTACAGACTGCCATGATATAGCTTGAATAATTGAGTGACATGCTTAACAACAAACAAACCTGGAAAACACAACTCACTGTTGAATATTTGCTTTTCATGTGTTCTGTTGGGCAAATTTCAACACCTTTTGGTTCTATTTTGAATGTTCAATCCAGCTGAATACTAACCTCAGTGGGGGCGGTGGGTTAGTCTAGTGGTTAAAGTTAAGCTCGTCATTTTGGTTCGATTCCCCACATGGGCCAAATGTGTGAAGCTGATTGATATTGCTGGAATATTGCTAAAAGCGATGAAAATCAAACTCACTCACTCAGTAATCTCACTGGGTCAGCTCCAGCAGATAATTACACGCCATTACATCCATGCATGTTCAGACTGAGGCGTAGTAACCTTTAATGTACATATGTATCTGGTTTCTGTGTTAGGCTAAGCCCTGCTAATCTGGAAACCCATGTTTCTTAAATGTAATGGTCCTCAATGTGTACCTCCATGTTTAGTAATATTGAAATTTGTCAATTGGATGAATTCCCCAGGGATAACAGGGTTTCACCATATGTATGAACTGTTAATGTCCTGTATTGACCAGTTTGCAGGTTCCCAATCCATGGGCTGTGTCTATGTATTCCAACTGCATAGATTGTTGCTCATGGTGTCAATCACTGGTTTGTCTGGTCCAGACCCGATTATTTACAGACTCTCGTCATATAGCTGGTATATTGCTGAGTGCAGCATTAAACAACAAATATACAATATACTAACTTCTTTTCCATGGGCCAAGTTTATGCCCCACACTGATCGAACTGTTTCTTATCTAGCCTCCCAAGCCACGGGCTCCAAGCAGATGGCAAGAGTATGCCAAGCTCAAGGGCATCGCGAACAGGAAGAAGGGTCGCATGGTTTGGGATGAAGTTCACAAGGTAATGTTGTAACTTGGTAACATGTAAATGAGTATTGGTGTGGGGCTGTAGTTGATGGTGGCCACTATCAGCACCAGCAGCAATTTGTCTTCTTGTATACAACTTCATTTTGATATGATCTGTATTGTTAAGAAATTATCATGGGGATTCTGGATTAGGTTAGGGTCCCTATACTGGTCCATATACTATTCCATATACTGGTCCCTATACTATTCCATATACTGGTCCCTATACAATTCCATATACTGGTCCCTATACAATTCCATATACTGGTCCATATACTGGTCCTTATACTATTCCATATACCGGTCCCTATACTATTCCATATAATGGTCCCTAAACTATTCCATATACTGGTCCCTACATTGGTCCATACACTAGTCCCTATACTATTCCATATACTGGTCCCTATACAATTCCATATACTGGTCCCTATACAATTCCAAATAATGGTCCCTATACTATTCCATATAATGGTCCCTATACTATTCCATATACTGGTCCCTATACAATTCCATATACTGGTCCATATACTGGTCCCTATACTATTCCATATAATGGTCCCTATACTATTCCATATACCGGTCCCTATACAATTCCATATACTGGTCCCTATACTATTCCATATACTGGTCCCTACACTGGTCCAAACACTAGTCCCTATACTATTCCATATACTGGTCCCTATAATATTCCATATACTAGTCCATATACTGGTCCCTATACTAGTCCATATACCGGTCCCTATACTATTCCATATACTGGTCCCTATACTATTCCATATACTGGTCCCTACACTGGTCCCTATACTATTCCATATACTGGTCCCTATAATATTCCATATACTAGTCCCTATACTAGTCCATATACCGGTCCCTATACTAGTCCATATACTGGTCCCTATACTATTCCATATACTGGTCCCTACACTGGTCCATACACTAGTCCCTGTACTATTCCATATACTGGTCCCTATAATATTCCATATACTAGTCCATATACTGGTCCCTATACTGGTCCCTATACAATTCCATATACTGGTCCCTATACAATTCCATATACTGGTCCCTATACTATTCCATATAATGGTCCCTATACTATTCCATATACTGGTCCCTATACTAGTCCATATACTGGTCCCTATACTGGTCCCTATACTATTCCATATAATGGTCCCTATACTATTCAATATACCGGTCCCTATACAATTCCATATACTGGTCCCTATACTATTCCATATAATGGTCCCTATACTATTCCATATACTGGTCCCTATAATATTCCATATACTAGTCCATATACTGGTCCCTATACTAGTCCATATACCGGTCCATATACTTGTCCATATACTGATCACAAGAGGCAACTTAATGGATCAGATAGTCAGTCTTAGTGGGTGAAGTATTAGACACCGAACATACAAGGTCTTAACTGGCCATCAACAATGGTGATTTAGATCCCTGTAGATATTCCAGGGCAGAATGGATCCTAGGGTTGGCTAGGCTTTGGTAAGGGATTATTGCTATGATGACAGCAGGATTGTCACAATGTATGACATGGTTTATCCTTATATCGCATTTTGTTCTCATGTTTCAACCATATGTTTATCTCTCCTAGACTTGAATAAACAATGCCATTTAGAAAGTGGTCTAATGTAACATGTTATGTTTGGGATTACACATTCTCAGTATTATACAGATTCTAGTACTTTTATTAGGTTGAGTTTCATCTGGGATTCGAATCACCAGCACACAAAGTCAGAGATCTAACCCATCCAGCTACTGCTGCTTCTCCTAGACTTGATTATTGAGACTACTGTGATGTAGCTTGAATATTTCTAATGATTTTGATATATACTTATACACTATGATAATCCTTATCAAAATTATGGAAGAATTTACAGCAAAATGACATAAATCAAAGAAATTGGTTTGTGACAGTGAGGTGTGAAAGCCATTCTCTTCCCACAGAGGTTACTTGTCATATCTTCCTGCGAACCGCTGTTCTAATACGGCCATATTTCCCGGTTCTCGTAAAATCCCCTAGCGGCGAAACATCGCAACACGAATTACCTCTCTTCTTTCTATCCAATCAGAACACGTGTTACATCGATGCAAGTAAAAATGGAGCCACAAATATCCCTCTTCTCTGCCGGGGACTTGTGTTGATGTGACACACAAGACATTTAATGGCAAGCTTGTCCGTTGTTAACGAGGGCGATGGTGACGCCATTGATCCGCCATTACATGACTGAGTTCTGTCTAGAAGAAACGTTTGGAAGAGGTTCCAGTTTTCTCGAAGCATACAGAAATTACCGAGTCCTTGCGAATGATCACTTTTGAAACAATGTCGCTGATTGCACAACTAAATCTGATTGCAACCAATCACGATTCCTGAACACTCGCACCATGAAGGGCCGTATTAGAACGGAGGTTCGTAGGAAGATATGACAAGTAACCTCTGTGGGAAGAGAATGTGTGAAAGCATGCAACACTTAGATAATGTCTTCTGCGTTTTAATCTTCATTAGCACTATCCTACTTTACCTGGCCTCTTGTCACTTATTACTTTTCAATCCTGTGAAAATCTAGTTCAGAATCAGTCTGCAGCAACCCCAGGCGAATAATGGAATTGTGTGGTCAGACTTGCTGACTTGGTTGACACATGTAATTGTATCCCAGTTGCATAGATCGATGCTCATGCTGTTGTCCACTGGATTGTCTGGTCCAGGCTTGATTATTTACAGATCACCACCATATTGCTGGAATATTGCTGAGTGATTGTCAAGCAACAAACTAACAAACAAATGTTAATTTTCAACAGTAAAATTCAACTATGTGTTTTCAAAGTGTTTCAGTATATAACCCAAGATAAAATAGATCAAATTACCTCACATTATCACAGGAACTTGACCAATAGTCTAATAATATGTGTTAATACATTTTTATCAGGAATATCGACCTCGCTGGGGTTATAAACGGGCGAATGATGACACAAAGGACTGGCTTATTGAAGTTCCACAAAATGCAGGTTTGTTGGTCTTTGGTTACTACATTAGTGAGACGTGAGTGATTAGAAAGACATGAGAGGGACATGAGTAATGAGGCATGAGAGACATGTGATGAGGCATGTGATGAGGCATGAGAGACATGTGATGAGGCATGAGAGACATGTGATGAGGCATGAGAGACATGTGATGAGACATGAGGGACATGTGATGAGACATGAGACATGTGATGAGGCATGAGAGACATGTGATGAGACATGAGGACATGTGATGAGACATGAGGGACATGTGCTGAGACATGAGACATGTGATGAGACATGTGATGGGACATGTGATGAGACATGAGAGACGTGATGAGACATGAGGGACATGTGCTGAGACATGAGAGACGTGATGAGACATGAGAGACATGTGATGAGGCATGAGAGACATGTGATGAGAGGCATGATGAGACATGAGACATGTGATGAGACATGAGACATGTGATGAGACATGAGAGACATGTGATGAGACATGAGGGACATGTGATGAGACATGAGAGACATGTGATGAGACATGAGGGGGAGTAAGATAAAAATGAGACAAGAGTGATGAGCAAGGCATAGGTGATATTCAGAAATGTACTCCTTTCTAGTATTATCCATACAGACAAGTCTCATATGTATGTAGCTAGTATTAATTTACTCTGAAGAATAGGGTCCCAGTATCTTGTGAGAGATGAGTAATGAAGGTAAGGAAGACAGGCAAGTTCTGACTTGCCAGACAATGTTGTGTGTACTATGATGACTGGAATTATTTCTGACTGTAGGGTCTCCAGTTGCCAGAAAACAACACGTTGATTCTTAGAATAGTTCAACTTTGGTATACTTGTGGATGTTTTTGTGCACTTGATGTCTATGAACATACTTGGTTTATCATATGTTTTTGTCTGTTTTTTTCTGTCATTCTGTTTGTCTAAATTATGTTTTCATTGGTGTTTCCAGATCCCAATGAAGACCAGTTTGCCAAGAGAAAGAAAGCCAAATCTGAAAGAACTGCCAAGAATGAACTTCAGAGACTCCGCAATTACAGCCGAGCCAGGATGTCAAAAGGTTTGTTATAAAAGATTTAATATCCCCCCATGAGAATTGATAGGGATATTGGGGATCATGGGACAGACACTAATTACGGTCAGGTAAATTACAGTATTAACATTTTTAAATTACACAAAATGTGTACTTGATAATTTTCAAAAAACATGGCCTAGTCAGGTATTGATGTGAGATTGGTCTGTTGACAGTTCCTGGAGTGGGTCTGACACCAACAGAAAAACCCTCTAAAGACCATCTATCTAAAGCCCTAGCAGTAGCAAGAAAGTCCACAGCATCCATTGGCCACTTCACAGACAAACTGCCCAATGAAAAGAAGTCAAAATACTCTGGCAAAAAGAGGAAGGTGAGAGGTTTATAATGTAGTGGAAAACCTGTCTAGGGGAGATAACTCGTTTGCTCGTTACCACAGTAATCTTTATCAATGATGAGATAACTTCAGTGGAATCAGTGCTGTCATTTTTATACAGTGAAAGCAAAGATATGTTGGAATTTTTAATTGTTTATTTATATATTATGATATTTATGTAAACAGATATATTTACTTTGCAACAAAAAAAGCTCTGGTATGTCCTTGTGGTGTTTGTCACACTGGTACCAAGGCCTGTTGCAGAAACAATGTAGAAATGAAATAGCAGCCTTTGTTTAGTTTTGGATGCACCATTGCAAATCTTACAAATAGAAAGCCATTTTATATGTGCAACTGTACGCTGATGAACTGATAATGTAAGTGCAATGTGCAGTATGCATTCGTAAGCAATGAATTACAGACTGCTGTCATGTAGCTAGAATATTGATTGTTGCATCATTGAACAATGAAACAAACAAAGCTTTAATGCTGACAATTGACAATGTGACATTAACTTCAATTCATATTAACTATGCATTCTCTGTAGTCTGCTTTTTCTAACTTAACAGTTTGAATCCAACTATGGTGATCTGAAGGTGGAGTCCTCGAGACAGATGGACATTCTCAACTCTATCTGTAACCAACAGCCCAGACTTAACATTGTCCAGGCCACGAATTCACACATAAATGATGAACAAGTACAGCAGTAAGTGAAGCCAGGTTACTCTTATGTCATTTGGAAACAAGAGTCTGTGTTGAACATGTTGGTGAAGACTTGCACTTTTTGTGTACAATACATATTGTGTATAGGAATGTTGGTGATTTTGCAATATTGGCAGCTGTATGGGAAGAAGTTGAAATCAATGTGCCTCTGTTCACATAGTGCAGGTAATTGGCTTTGGTAGTAGATTAGTAGAAACCCTGTTAATTCAACAACCATGTTTTTTATGTTGACACCTTGTTGCTAAACATTTGACTGTATGGAAAATGATATGAAAAGAAATTGTTCCACTCCCTCCCATTCACCAATGAAAGGAGCTCACTCCATATTCAAGGGTTGGTAGGGTAGTCTTTTGACTACAGCATTCGCTTCTCATGCTGAAGACCCGGGTTCGATTCCTCAAATGGGTACAATGTGCAAAGTTGAATTCTGGTGCCCCCGCCATAATATTTCTGGAATATTGATAAAAGTGGCATACAACCGTACTCGCGCTGTCCAAGTCCATGTTCGCCTGATCCTTGAGGAGGAGGAATGATGAATGAAGGAGATTTATTTTCAGGATTCAAGATTTTTTATTCAGTATATAAGCCTCTGACCCTGAATGCATGTGCATAAAAACAATAAAACAAATGCATGAATAAATACCTTCCAACTGTCATCGAAGTATTGCAGCTGAATTAAACATCATTGTAAAGAATGCTATAACAGGGTATACCCTCCCCTATAGGTTTTCAAAGTAGTAAATTAGAGGGAATAGAGCAGGTTACGTTTTTGCAATTTTCTAGGACTTGGGCTGACTGTCCTGAACATGTTTTCAAAGTTTGGTAAGGATAAAATGGCCTTCCACGTTTGATATAAACGTGAAAATGTCCTCATTTGTTATATGCTGCACTTATCTGGAGACTGACCTCATTGTGTTGTAGATCCAGGAAGAATGGATCCAAGAAGACACCGAAGAAGCAGAAGGGTGGCGGCAAAGGGGTCAAAGGTGGAAAGATCGGGAAGGGGGGCAAAGGTGGAAGGATGGGCAAGGGGGGAAAGGGAGGGAAGAAGGGAAAGGGTAGAAAATAATACTCTGTAAACATTTGTAAATAAAATGTATGGAAAGAAACCGGTTTCTTGTCTTAATACTGTTGACACATGTCATCGGTTCCCAATTTGCGCAGATCGATGCTCATGCTGTTGATCACTGGATTGTCTGGTCCAGACTCGATTATTTACAGACCGCCGCCATGTAGCTGGAATATTGCTGAGTGCAGCATAAAGCTCAACAGACTCTTAATACAGTTTACTTGGCACAACAAATACACAATTCCCCAAATGGGTACAATGTGAGCAGCCCATTTCTGGTGTTCCCCATTGTGGTATTGCTGGAATATTGCTAAAACTGGTGAAAGACCTCACTCCACTCACTCACAAGTACCAGTACTCATATAAACATGCCCTTTGCTGCATAGAGGAAGTAATGGCCTACCTTCAGTACTTACCACCACAAACTTTACAAACACCTCACAATACCCTTGGATGTAATTAGTGAAATTTGTTGCAAAACACTCTTTGAAACAGTGACTTATGACATTCACCTCTTGCTGGGGTCATGGCGTGCTCATAAACCTTCAATTCTTTAACACAACATTAAACCTCATTCCCTTCTGCAACTCTCTGGATGGTTATGATATGATATAATTTTAAAATAGGTCATATCCCAAGGTTTCTCAGGCGGGAAATCCATTGCAACATTTTATTCCAGATCAAAAGATGTTACAAGGCATCTTTTTGTGTATATAATGGCGGTCTGAGCATGGATCGCTACTAACACTGTCAAGTCTAGGTGTGGCTGAAATGTTGGTGATGCAGTGTTAATTTACAATTCACACCCTCCCTATCAACCTCAATAGACATGGATAAAGAGCACAGAAGCCAAACTCGCTTCACACCCTCCCAATCAACCTCAATAGACATGGATAAAGAACACAGAAGCCAAACTCGCTTCACACCCTCCCTATCAGCCTCAATAGACATGGATAAAGAACACACAAGCCAAACTCGCTTCACACCCTCCCTATCAACCTCAATAGACATGGATAAAGAACACAGAAGCCAATCTCGCTTCACACCCTCCCTATCAACCTCAATAGACATGGATAAAGAACACAGAAGCCAAACTCGCTTCACACCCTCCCTATCAACCTCAATAGACATGGATAAAGAACACAGAAGCCAAACTCGCTTCACACCCTCCCTATCAACCTCAATAGACATGGATAAAGAACACAGAAGCCAAACTCTCGCTTCACACCCTCCCTATCAACCTCAATAGACATGGATAAAGAACACAGCCAAACTCGCTTCACACCCTCCCTATCAACCTCAATAGACATGGATAAAGAACACAGAAGCCAAACTCGCTTCACACCTCCCTATCAACCTCAGTAGACATGGATAAAGAACACACAGCCAAAGCCAAACTCGCTTCACACCCTCCCTATCAACCTCAATAGACATGGATAAAGAACACAGAAGCCAATCTCGCTTCACCCTCCCTATCAACCTCAATAGACATGGATAAAGAACACAGAAGCCAAACTCGCTTCACACCCTCCCTATCAACCTCAATAGACATGGATAAAGAACACAGAAGCCAAACTCGCTTCACACCCTCCCTATCAACCACAGAAGCTTCACACCCTCCCTATCAACCTCTAGACATGGATAAAGAACACACCCTCCCTATCACACCCCTCAACCTCAGTAGACATGGATAAAGAACAAAGAACACAGAAGCCAATCTCAGTAGCTTCACACCCTCCCTATCAACCTCAATAGACATGGATAAAGAACACACAAGCCAAACTCGCTTCACACCCTCCCTATCAACCTCACTAGACATGGATAAAGAACACAGAAGCCAAACTCACTTCACACCCTCCCTATCAACCTCACTAGACATGGATAAAGAACACAGAAGCCAAACTCGCTCCACACCCTCCCAATCAACCTCACTAGACATGGATAAAGAACACAGAAGCCAATCTCTCTTCACACCCTCCCCATCAACCTCAATAGACATGGGTAAAGAACACAGAAGCCAAACCCTCTACTGTAGATTTGAGGTTAGGCCTCCAATGACAATGGATACATGTTGAGCAGAGTTCCTTCCCTTAGCTATTCCACTGAAGGCTAGGCTGCCTTCGTCATCTAATTGCAGTCTGGCCTTACAAAATTGTATGGCTAGACAATGGCTAGCCATAAATTATGAACGGTCCCTAAACATATGAAACAATATAAGAAATGGAACACTTGCACTGTCATTAGAAAATTACAAATGAACCAAACCATTACCTTAAAACATAAATGAGGCAAACCTTAAAAAATATCAAACTTACTTTTATCCGAAAAAGGCATATAAAAGCTTTCGAACATTCTGATCATCAATGATGTGTAATACACTGTAGAATTCAGGCACAAAACTCATCTTTGAGCGTTTGTTCAAAGAAATGCATGCAGGCCTTCGTTTGGAGGGATTCGAACTCGCAATATTACCAGTCATCTTCTCACACGTTTTCGCAACATAACGGAGTCTCAGAATCATTCGTAACTACTCGTGTCATTCCGGCAAGACGGAAAGAGGCGAATAGTTACGAATGATATGATCTAATGTAGTTTGCTCTTGGTTTGGTTTACGTAGGGATTTGTCAATCTTTGTCAACTTCACGATCTGCGTTATAAACTGCTGCCGTTAATAGGCATGGAGATATATCAGTATGGCAGAAAGCTGTGTAGCAATGACTGTTGTCAGACAGCAGAGGGGATTTTTACTGGGGATTTTAGTGGGGAAGTCCCAGGCTGATCACGAGACGTATAGTGGTTGTTGCGCAGTAAATTATCAAGGTAACTTTGAGTTTGATTATTAATTTAAAGGTTTAGACATATACAGTTATCACACAGACGTACTTATATCCATTAGTGTATGTTGTGTGAATACTTTACGAGCTCGAATCAACCCAAATCAGTAGCTCTAACCAGGGATACTCTACATACATACTCTACTCTTATAGAGTCTCCCTGATCTAACCCATAAGCATGAAAAGTACTGAGATGAACATCATCAGTATACATGTCTGGGTTTAGTCTGCTTAATCATAATATTATGTGATAATATCTACTATCTATCTATATACGATATTGCAACGTCATAGTTAAGATAGGGACGAGTCGTGGAGTCAACAATGTTCTGATACAAAAAGATACAAATACGTGCGTTTATTTGGTGGGGGATTCTAAAGGCAGGCTAATGTTTCACTTCTGTCGTTTTAACCAGGGATAATCTATGTCGTCTATTCTCCCTGTTTCAACATTGGATCAGTATCATGTTTCATGATATTAAACTAATTGATCAAATGTAACAACAAAAGATGAGAATTTGGATGTTTATTGTAGAATCACATACATGGGGGAGGGACCAATATTTATGTGTCAGAAATGAAACATGCTTGTCATACCAGACGACTGTGTATTGGATGGTCAGCCGCAGTGACTTGTCATCATACCTTGATGGTGGATGGGTACTGATAAGGTCAATCAATAGTCTGTATGATACTGATCCAATTATTTACAGACAACCATTATATATAGTTTAAAATTGCTGAATCTTATTGTAAACAATATAAACTAACAAACAACATATTTGTATTGTGGTCTTTCCATTAACTACAGGTTCACACCACTACTACCATTTCAAACAAACCATTTCTCCACAAAGCGGCTTGGCAACCAATCTACAGACATGAAGCATTGTCCAAGTGGTCAGTACTATGACGAGGTTGTGAACAGGTGCCAGGGATGCGAAGACATCTGCTACTGGATTTACCAGAAGGATCCTGACTCAGACTGCAACAAATTCTGTCCAGGTACATCATCCTGCACTGTTGCCATGACAGCGTATTTGTTTCTCCTTCTGAGACATAAAATTTGTTTCTGATTACATCATATAGTTGTATGCCATTTTATGCCTTTGTGTGGCACCCACAGCGCTGGTTATGAACTCTCACTTCATGTTCTCTGCAAAAATTAGAAATCAGAATATTTCAATATAGCATTGAAGCTGGTAGGCTCTGTCAATCTTTGCCTGCAGATAGTGGCAACTGTAGTTTATGAAATGGCTATTTGGGGTCCCTAACATATATTGTCTTCTGTATGAGGCAATGTATTTTAGTCATGAAATGTGTTAGAAATATTTCAGATAATAATATATTTACATGAATTTGTTCATTTGACAGACTATTCAACATGAAATAGCATCATCATGTCTCTAAATAACATAGCTCTGAACTATGAACACAGTATAGTCACCTTGTTTACAAACTCACAAAGTCATTGTTTATACCATGTATGCTTATGGTCGTGTCCCGTTTAGGGTTCTCCCAAGGCGGACATCCTGGACAGGATGGGTCGGCATCTACTCCAGTGAATGTACCGATGCTTGTTTCCATCATAGCGGGTGTTGTGGTTGTGGTCATAGTACTTGTGGTACTATGGAGGCGGTTCCGACGTCGAGATCAGACTCCCTCCATAGTTGTCCAGGAAACGACCCTTGTTGCCCAGCCCAGTGACAGCTCACCTGAAATGGGCTTCGCAGAACTGTGTATAGGTAGGGACACTTTGTGGAGAAATGGCTTGCTTGCATCCCGCCAACATAGCATTCAGTTAAATTTGTGAACCTGTTCATAACCTTCTTTGTATTTAACTGATGTAATATTTCTTTTCAAATGTTCGACACAAATATATTATCAAATGTCTGTTTAACTGGCCCTAAAACAACTCAACCTACATGTCTGACATGTCATGCTGGTGATATATAAGAATTACCATTAAGTTTTATTTATCAACTAAAGGATGACTCAAGATAGTTTATAACTTACACAATAGGGCTAGTGTTTTGTGGTACTTTAACATGTTTAAGAGCCACTGCAACATGAAACATCTGTCACATTTTGTCCAGATTGTCTGTACTCCTGACTTTCATTACCTGGTTTACATCTTTTCTACTGCAGATATAATATTGATATCAATTTGATTATGTTGTTTCGATGTTGGGAATAAAATAATGTGTGGAATTGTCTTTTACAGGAAGCAACTCTGGAGATCATCTGTTGACTGGTTCCGACTATTCTGGAAATTAGACTTGCAATCTGCTTACCCTCTGTGGTAGATAAGACTCCCAGTACCCCATGCTTGTTGTAAGAGGCGACTAAAATGAGAATTAGGTGGTCACAATGACTGCTGAAAATAGACAGGGACTGGATGAATGATCACATGGGGAGACCATTTCTCGACTGGGGCCTCGCTGACTGACGTACACCAATAGGTGGCCTCATGCTCATACCATCAGTCACTGGCTTGTTCTCCCGTCCAGCTGATGAGCAAGCCATGGTGTTCATAGCTTAAACATTGCTGACAGCTGTGTTCAGCTCAGCCCTGAGTCTGTGGCGAGTCCAGAGCGGAGCAGCCCCAAGCATCCCGTGCTTGTTGTAAGAGGCGAATAATATGAGGATATTGTGATCCAGATATGTGACCTTGTTGGTGTGATCATGACAAAATACTGAGTGGGTCAGTGCCCAACTATTACCGTAGTCCTGCTATATGACTTAAATATAGACATGTTATGAACAAATTTTGATTAGAAACAAACACGTTTATCCAGTTCTACTCCACATCATCAGGGAAAGAAATTAAGGCCAAATTTCATTTTTCGCAATGATCTATATTAGCCCGCCACTGCTGATAATGACTGGTTCTACTTGACCAGAATTGGTATTTAGGGATATGCAGTTTTAGCTGGAATATTGCTGAGTTGATAAAATAACATTCACTCAACCCACTTCATTGAGAGTCAGATCACGGGCTGGGAATGTGAGTATGATGCGATGTTTTACAATTGTGAAACAGGTCATCATTACTAATTAGAGAATCTGGCCATCTGACAGGCCGGTCACCATCTTGTAATATCACCCACACTGACTGGCATACACAGGCTGTCAAGTCCTAACTGATCATGTTCGTCCCTTGAATTACACCACTTACAGTGAGGTGGAAGTCACAATGTAGACCTGTTCACACACATCATGGCAGTCTCTACTCATACGACCGCCTCCGTGGTGTAGTGGTTAGCGCATCCGCCCAGAGAGCGGAAGGTCGCGGGTTCGATCCCCGACCATGTCATACCAAAAGACGTTAAAATATGGTACTTGTTGGTCCCTGCCTGGCGCTCGGCATTAATGGGTACAACAAGGACTGGTCGGCTCGGAGTCAGTATAATGTGTCTGAGTGGGGTATTCATGCTTCACTGCGGCATGGTATCTCAGTGGGCTAGCACTATAAAACCAGCTTCAGTCTGGGCTAGTACAAGCAGCCGCACATACACATACACACGCATGCACGTCGTCATATGAGCGAAATATTCTCAAGCACGACGTAAACCCAATTTCATCTCACCTCACCTCTACTCATACACAAGACAGGTATGGCCAGTCTGTGCGTTGTGTTGATATAGAAGGTTATATTTTAGTTAAACTATTGTCAAGATAGAGTGGGATAATTTGATAATTTGAATGGGATAATTTCCTTTCCTCATCTTTGCCATGTAGTGGCAAATTCAAGAAATCTGTCAAGACTGATTGCATCGGTGCAAAGAATTATAAAGGAGATACAAAGTTTGAGGTTTGCTGATGCTCTGTATTAAAACATTTGTCAGGAAGTTTAAATGCTATAGAGGAATTTTTACAGCCTGTTACTGTATTGACAAGGGGAGGTAATTCAACATACCTGTACACAATATTGGGTTTACACCCATGTCACTATCCAAAGGTTTCCTTCACCAGAACTACGTCTTCATATCAAACCATTTTAATCTATGTGCCCAAACACTAATAACAGTGATTACTTCCTGACAGGATTCCTAAGGTCCCTTTTATTTACATGAAATTATTTTTGAAATCTACTGCTGTTTTTCACATTGTGATGTAAGTCTTCACAGGTTGATATCCTTCTTTGGCTTTTGTACTTGTTCTGAAGAACATAGATGGTCACAAAAACCATTCTGTAGATGAGAGGCATATATATATTTCTATTTATAGGTTACAACACAGTAACTGATGAGAATGGCCTCTAGATTTTATGTACACCATCTCAACATCAGACTCCCTGTCTCTATGCATCTGTTATCTTAATAGTTGCTAATGTCTGCATTATGTAACACTTGCTCACAGTTATTCTTTACTGCAAATAGGTCTGTTGACAGTGTCCATGACATTACACTTCAACATAATTTAAAGTCAAACTAATTCTTACGTAACTCGGATCCTCCTTCACAGTTCCTGTATTTAGTTAAAGCCATAGTATATTCATAGCACGGAACAAAATACATATTCAGTATAACTCAGGGTTCTTCTTACATTCATTTTACAGCAGTCATTTGTGTATATCAACTAACAGCAAAATGATCTCTTGCCAATATTTTCATTAGATTTTAGTTTAATATACCTGTATGCCAAATGAATTTGAGATTACTGGCCTGAAAGTATTTCTTAAGTTCATTTCCAGTTAACTTTTATTTGATTGCTATTATTGTTGATAGTTTTTGTTATTATTTGATTGTTATTATTGTTGATAGTTTTTGTTATTAGATCAAACAATTTTAGTGGACTCAGGATTCAGACAAGTTGCTAAAGATATGACAGCATTCCTTAGGTACTACCTGGAAAACATATTCCAGTGCTTAAATTATGCCACTTGTCCTGAATGGTAGTTCCTCAACAGTTTGAATGCAGATTATGTTTCAAGATTGTGGGTATCACTGAAGTGGTGAAAGTCTGTCTGGCATCACTCAGGCTTCTCCACCTTTGTTGTCACTTTGTGATATGACTGAAATACTCCTCATAGCCATTTAAAACAAACTCAATGAAGCAACAAATTTCAGTTAACAAAATGAAGGACATAAAACATCTCGGTGTGGCCTTACATCTGTGTTCTGATTAAATATTATCAAGTTTCTTGTCCAGAGCTTTAAACCATGATGGTTTAAACTTTAAACCATTGATAAACCATGTGATCGTGATAAGTATGCAGTAATCTATGTTAATGAACAGTCATATAATGAAGTGATGGATGTAAAAAGTCTTCTGGGGTCCTGGGCCCTGTTTCACAAAGCTAGCATAACACCATGACTATCGTACCTCCTATACTGTAACATAATGTAATGCTATGATAGCTTTCTGAAACAGGACCCTGGCCACTTGCTGTATACTTTAACAGAAATGTGTATAGTGAACTGTGGTTGGCAAACTAAATTTTTCTTTTCGAGTTTGTAATACCTATAGTTCACTGTATGTGATATGATGCTGTGATATGGAATTGGAGGCCAGCAATAGGTATTGACAGGGTGGTTTACATGCACTGCTTGGTTATTGATTTTGTTTGTGAAATTTACATCATATCTGTATATTATCAGATATATTTTTCTTGTTTATATTTTGATACAATTATGTCAGATTTATTTTGATGATGTTGGCATAATGTGTTGAAAGGTTGTGAAAGTTGTCAGAATCAATTGTACCAAAGACTGCTGCTGTTTTATTGAGTGGACACAGTCTTGTACAAAATGTGATATAAAGCAGACCATTGACATTATGGGACTTTATCCCACTGCTTTGTGGAAAGAGAGTTGTCTTTCTTAGCTGTGCCAGGATCTGATCATGATTCTTAGTTTGTCAGCACCATAACCATGCTTATTTCTATGAAGTAGTAAATCTCAGACATCTGGAGATGCATGTAGGTTCCTGAGTAGGAGATATTGGATAGATTTAAAATTCTTAAGGTCAAATTAAGAAGTTGTATATTTTTATCAAGACAAAATGTGTATATCATTTCCTTCAAAATCACAAATTACATGCATGGAATACTCCTGTTCAGATGATTTGTTCACAATGGCAATGTAACAAGTGACTGCTTGTGGATTAATAGATTTAAAGAAAAAGTGATAAACTGAAAGAAATGGCATCACTTTTGAACTGGCTAAGCTGATGAGTTGTGATGTAATTGAAATATTGCCTTAATTCTGCTATGGGTAGGTATGGGATATTAATTATTACTGTAGTCTATTGTTTTAAGAGCTGATAATTCAGTTATTGACAAATGTAACATATCATATAAATACAGGAAATATCTGCATATTGTTTTGTTGTCAATGGTGTATATGTAGTTATGACTTTAGACTTATATTCTATAAGTGATGACTTGGATTTGTTTCTGGCATGGGTACATTACGTAGGAAGATATGACAGGAGTAACCTCTGTGGGAAGAGAATGGGGTACAGTGTGTGACATTATTTCTGAGGGAACGTTTACTTATGGTGTCCCTGTGCAGTGATATTGCTGAAATATTGCTAAAAGAGCTGTAAAACCATACTCACTCATTCAGTTACAAAGCAAGAGTTAGCAAGGTTGCTGTACTTGATGCATTTTGCCTTTGGCTGATTTGAAAACTTCCTTTGCTGATTAGCTGGTTCACAACACTGAATGCCAGGCTTTGATTTGTCACCCAATGCCAGGCTTTGGTTTGTCATCAAACGTCAGACTTTGATTTGTCACTCAATGCCAGGCTTTGGTTTGTCACCCAACACCAGGCTTTGACTTGTCATCAAACGTCAGACTTTGATTTGTCACTCAATGCAGGCTTTGGTTTGTCACCCAACACCAGGCTTTGACCTGTAACCCAACATCAGGGTTCGACTTGTCACATACCCTAGGAGGCTTTGACCAGTCACTTGTCACTCAACATCAGGCTTTGTGACTTGTCACCCTTGTCACCCAATGTCAGGCTTTGACCAGTCACCCTTGTCGCCCAATGCTATGCTTTGATTTGTCACCCAACGTCAGACCTTGATTTGTCACCCAATGCCAGGCTTTGATATGTCCTGTGTGTTTGTTTCATGGAAGAGGTAAATATTGTAATGGCATCGCCCATGCCAGATCTCCGCCCTCATTAAGCGGAGACAGTGTGATACAAATGAAGTACTAGTTAGATGAGACTTAACCCATCATTCAATATGCGATTTATCCTCATGGAGAATAGTGAGAAGCATTGTCTGAAATTTCAGTCTGAAACCCAACTCACTCACTCTAATCAGTGATGTAATAGACATCTACAGCATAATATGAGGTAACACAAAATGGTGTTTGAGGGATTGAATCAAACTTGCCCAGGCTGACCACTAATCAAAAGGGTGGGTTACTTGAACTATTTGAAACATGTTTCTTTGAGATCATGCTGTATGTACATTTTATTGAACGGATTACATATTAAATTATACAAAATGAAAGTAGTAAATATATTTACAATTAAAACAAGATTGTATGTCTTCATCGCTGAGCAGATTCTAACATCAACACACAATCAATGTACGCATATTCACCATATAATGGGAGTTTCTCGGAAGGATAATGCAAAGGTTAAAAACTATTCATTGGGGTCATGAACGATTAACTATGCAAATACAACAGGTCAGATGAGGGTACTACTCTCAGTTCATTCTATCGGGTCAAAATCGGACAAATGGCATCTACAGACATTACTGGGATAACTGTTCTCCACATCAAAACAATAGTTTAAAATATTGATTTGGCGCAGCTGAGGCCTTCAACATGTGTTTGGTCCTACATTGGAGACAAAAGAATGATTTTAAAAGATAGACTGAATCTCATCCTTGCATCTTTTCAAATCAAATATATCAACACTCGTCCATAAAACGTTAAAGCCTTTATCTACTGGTGTAGAATTACTTTATATAAAAAGCACCTGTTTCCTCATCATGACATAGTCCTATCTAATTCATATACAAAAACTGGTGTTCCATCACACCTTGGTATAGCGCAGAGTAGTCTGGACTATTGGGTTCAAATGAGAACGATGAATGATTAAATA